AATGGATTAATATTAAGAAAAGAAATCCATATGTAGAAAAATGCTATACAAATTTAAATCTTTTGTCATAGTTTCTAGTTCAAGAAATTTGCTGTCCAGCTGAGAGGACATGACATAAACAAAACTTATATAGAATAATCACAAAAGTGTAATTGAATTACACTTTTTTTTTTTGAAGGTTTATCCATCTTGATTTCCCTAGAGTCCTCTGGCCTATTTTAAGACTGAAGGAAAACAGCCTGGAACATGCATCCTATATGCAATGAAAAAAATTAGCATTGTTTCCAATATCCTGAGGTTTCTTGGCCACTTTACCTCTCCCTTTACAAAATTCCATGGCTCTGTGTAACTGCTGCCCAATGCTCTGCCCCTCACACTGGGCTGCTGACACCACACCACCCACAATGGACACCTCCTGGATTCTTGAATTCTGCATAATACACTGGTACCGAATCTTATGTAGAGTAGCCTTTTAGTAAGATTTGAGGCCAGTGAGGATGAGATTTACAGCAAGGCAAATATTAGGTATTCCTGTTCTTAAATACCCTCTTGATCAATTCCTGCTTGAGAAGTCCTCACTGGCCTTCTCTTCACAAACAATCCTAGCCTAGTACCATTTTGATCCATTTTTCTTTCTTTTACCTTTCCCTTTTCAACCTGTTACCCATAAGCCACCTCCTCCAATTCCTGTTATACTTATGTAGCAATAATAGTTAATACCAGTTAAACGATTTACTCTGCACCAAGCAGTATAAATGTTCTATGTTTGTTCTTTCATCTAGCCCATATCTTCTCTCCCTTTGTTTCTCTCCAAGTGTTCAGGTCTAGGTTTTGGGGCTTCATCTTTTTTACTCATTCAGCAAATAGCAAGTACCTGCTCCCAACTCCCCACCTCACTTTTTTTAGATAGGCCTGGTGCTAGCTCCTGGGGCTTTGGTAACAAATAAAAGAGACTTAGAAATCAAAGAGCTGATCAAAGTAACTTGCTAATTAAGTAAATTCTGTCTTTGAGGGAATTGCCAGCTTTTATAGGGACTGTTTTTCTACTTGTTGCAATACAAGAAAACAATAAAACAAATAACAAGATAAGACAAAAATACAAAAGATGCCTTACAACAGGATATTAGTGGCACCATGTAGGTCAGAAAGTATAAATAGTTTAAGTTTAGAAGCTGAAGAGGTCATGTGGAACAAATTGGTGGACCTTGAAACACTGGATTGGAGTAAGCAGAGGGAAGGCAGGCAGGAAGAGCTGGGATAGTGTGAGAGTGGATGCGGTGGATAAGAGCAAGGCCTTTGGAAGACCCTAGGCTCAAATCCTAGCTCTGTCACTTACAGTGTAACTATAGGTAAACTACTTTATCTTTTGTCCTTTAGAAAACCAAAGTACCTCCTTAAGAAAAAATAGTACCTTCCTCAAAGAGTTGTGTGGACTAATGGGGATTGGGGGAAGCACAAACCAAACTATGTAACGCTCCTTAAGCAGTGCCAGGAGTGTGGCAAGTGTCGAGTAAATGTTTGTGTGAAAAGCAGCAAAGGCTTTTAAGGTCATTTCACTTGAACCACTTGTGAAAAGGATATTTTTGGAACACTTTGCTGTTTACCCAATGTGGCTTTTTCCTCACAAATATTACTAAATTTTCTAGTAACTCTTAAGTAGATTTATCATCACCTTTACTATGCAGAAATGGAATCTGAGGCTCAAAGATTAAGAACTTTCACATGGCTTGAAAAGGACTCAGGCCAGGACTTTGAATCTAAATCCTGTGGCTCCTATTCTTTTTATTACTTTTAATTAAAAATCAACTGCTCCTTAGAGATGATAAATGCTTTACATGCTGAACAACCAATAGCTTAACCAAAGACTTTCAAGAGCAGATCAGAAGGGTCAGAAGTGGGAGTCAAACACACTTTGTCCACCTTATGTAGGCTGTAGAAATAACTGGCACATAAGTCAATCTAAGTGTCCATCAATAGGGAAACAGATAACTTATGGTGCATCCTTATGTGGACTCCCATGAAGCCAATAAAATGAATGAGGCAGCTCGGTATGCACCAGCCTAGAAAGGTGTCTAAACACATTAAGCAAAGAGGTAAATGGTGGAAGAGTATGTGCAGGAGAGGCCTTGTGTTTGAGACAACAAACTACCCATTGGGCGACCCAGCCTGGCTCTCTCCTTTCCTTATCCCCGTGGCGTCCTTTCCACACTGCTACCCCAACGTGCAAACACAGCCCCTTTCCGCAACACCCTTTGCTCCTAAGCCTCCAGTTTCTCTTGGGGGCCGTTCCCCACACTCTTGCTCTACCACCTTATTTTCGTCCTCCACCGCCTCCGCAGCAGGCGCTGTTACAACTCCCACACTGCAGTGTCTGCGAGTTTGCACCGCCCCTAGGGCGGAGCTGGAGAGCTATTGATGGAGCTCTCTTGCCTCCTGGGATTCTTCAGCCCCTGGCCCCGAGGTGGGCCCAGCTCACTGCCCTTCGGGTTACTTCCATCCATGCCTGGGAGCAACTCTTGGCCAGGAAGACAAGGCGTCCTGTTTGTTGTTACCACAGTTAGCCCACCTTTTTCTGTTTGCTCCTATTTTTGAGACTGTTCTGAAGATGCTGGTAAGATTATTAGGCTTCCCAGATTTACTGCGAGGCCCTGGAAGGGTGAGGATTTAGGACAGATCTACTTTAAATAGGAAACTGAAAATTAGAAACTGAATTATAAAACCAGCCCTAGCCCTTTGGAAGGAGATAAGAATTTCCCTCCTTCCCACATGCTTCCTTCTGTGAACCAAATTTCACATGCAGCAAATTGATATCTGTGCAGTCCTTAATAATAGTAGCTAAAAGGCAATCTGTTGAAGTGAAATTGAGACTTTGAAAAGCAATGACCTTGAACAGCCCTTGTCTTGACTGTTGAGGAACAGGGTTTTTTTTTTCATACTATTTGTTGAACTCTTTACTTAACATAGAGTTAATTATATGTGTATACAACTAATTGAAAATTTAAAAAAGAAAAAAATAATAGTAGCTAACTCTACATTGGACTGAGGGAAGCAGTGAGTTTCCTCACGATCTACAAGGCACGTCTCACCAGCCCTGTTTTACACGTGAAGATGCCAGGGGGCAGAGAGAGGTCAAGGAGCTGGCCCATGATCAGTCTCTGTAAGTGGCCGAGCCAGAAGCAGAGTCAGTCCCACTTAGTGCCCAGTACCACCAACCATTGTATTTTGCTGCGTTCCAGTTAGTCTGCAGTTGAAGAAGCAATTTATTGGCTTTTTAATGTCAAGTTGGAAAAATAAAGGAGATGGGATAGGAATGGAAGCTAATCAAAGATCAAGAGGTTCTGAGCTCAGAAAAGTGGGAGGTTGGAGGGGATAGGTTAGCTAAGGGAATACACAAGTACCCACATCCTTTTAAAAACTTTTATTGAGGTGAAATTCAAATAACAGAAAGTTAACCATTTTAAAGTGAACAGTCCAGTGACAGTACATTCACTATGTTTCACAGCCACCACATCTAGTTCCTATCACCCCAAAATAAAGCCACATACTCATTAAGGAATCACTCTCAGCGCTCCTTTCCCCAGTCCCTAGCAACCAGCAATTTGTGTTCTGTCGCTATGGATTTATCTATATTGGATATTTCATATAAATTGAATCATATAATAATAAGCCATTTGTGCCTGCTTCTTTCACTTAACATAATGTTTTTGAGGCTCCTCTATATAGCAAATATCAGTGCTTCATCCGTTTTGTGACCGAATAACATTTTCTTATATGTACATCCCATGATTTGCTTATCTGTTTGTCTCTTGATGGACATTGCCACTATTTCCACTTTTTGACTACACTGAATAGTGCTGCTCTGAACATGCATGTGCATGTATTAGCATGTTTTCAGTTCTGAGTATATGTTAGAGTGGAATTGTGAGGCCATATGATAATTCTATGTTTAGCTTTTTAAGGAACTCCTATATCCTTTTGAAACCCTTACCTAAAAGAGATATTATAAACCTATTAAATATTTTGAATAAGCTTCTTAGCGTCAACAGTGTTGATGTTGGAGTGTCAAAGAATTCTCTGTGTGAGAGGCTGATGGAGCATTGTAAAAATTTTAGCAGCAATCCTGGCCCCTACCCAGTAGATGTCAGTAGAATCCTCCCAGTTGTAACAACCAGTAGTGTCTGGAGACATTGCCAGATGTTCCCTGGGAAGCAAAAGTGTCTCCTCCCCACTCCCACTCCCACTTCCTGCTGAAAACCACTGTTTTAATGGATTTCTGTAAACATGAAGCATATATGGCTGACACTAAGGCAGATACTAAAACAAAGCAAGGGCCATTAAGAAATTCTTAGAAGTCTGTATATGTGATGTGTTTTTTGTTTTACTATATAATGTTAAGGAGTTTGCAGATTTTTTTTTAAAGATTTATTTATTTGAAAGTTGGAGTTACACAGAGAGAGAAGGAGAGGCAGAGAGAGAGAGGTCTTCCATCTGCTGGTTCACTCCCCAATTGGCCGCAATGGCCAGAGCTGAGCTGATCCAAAGCTCAGGAGCCAGGAGCTTTTCCCGGGTCTCCCATGTGGGTGCAGCGGCCCAAGGACTTGGTCCATCTTCTGCTGCTTTCCCAGGCCATAGCAGAGAGCTGGATCAGAAGTGGAGCAGCTAGGACTCAAACCGGCACCCATATGGGATGCCGGCACTGCAGGCGGCAGCTTTACCCACTACACCACAGCGCTGGCCCCTGGAGTTTGCAGGTTTATGAATATATGACAACCAGAAAAATCTTTTCATTGAATATTCATGCACTCTTCATTTGTAACTTTAGTATAATAAAACCAACTCATCCTCAGAATTCCAAGAAATACAGCCGTCCCTCATATATATTAATACTAAGAAATCACATTTGTAGTACACTGCATTTCATAGTTTTTAAGAGGGGACTGGAAGCAAGATTTATCTGATATTATAAAATTTATTTTTTCAAGTAAATGCTCAAGCAGTACCTACCCATGAGTACCTTTATGGTTCAGTGAAATAGTGGAATGATGAATGCTAATTTTCATTAGTGGAATGCACTGAACCAAATGAATCTTTTACATTTACTGTTAAGGATCTTGGAGAGTTGGTTAAAGGGTTGGAATCCTGAGTAAATAAACACCTTTGCACCAAAAAGCTGTTAAGATTAAAACTGTGGTAGAAATGGACCAACCATCCTTAGGCACAGACAGTATTGTTGTAGAATCCACAGCAGTTAGCAAGGGCCATGGCACTGAATGCCTTGTCTTCCCAGGCACCAGAAAAAGAAGGTGGATTGGTGCCATTCAGATAAGTACTGAAAAGAAAGATAACATATTGGGTCAGATGATAGCAAGGCAGCACAATAGATCAATAAATTTTATGTCAGCAACTGAAAACAAAACCAAGAACCAATAAACAGATCTATGAGTCGTGACCAAATAAATTGGACTCAGTTAGATTTGTTTTCTCTTTCATATCCAATATAATACTAGCAAGAAACCCTATATGATTGTGTCTGCTCCTGTGCCCAATTCCTAACCATGGCCCATTTGGAAATTTCCTTTCTAGAAATCTCTGAGTCACAGTTTATTCCCTGTAATGATTTTGTATCAAATTTATTCTAGAAAGCAGGGCGGTATCCTAAAGCCAGTCTCCTCCTAAGGAAAGAAAACAGTTCACACTTAATTAGTATAAATTAATTGGCCAAAACCATATCTCTTTCAGATTCAATGAGGGTTACTGCTAATGACCCTCAATATGTGGCTTTAGGAAATCCACTGATTGCCATCAGGTCATAGGAATCAAAACTATGCCAGACCAATGATCTGTCCAGCTTTTAATTCATCTTTAATAGTATGTCAAGGCCGGCTCCGCAGCTCACTAGGCTAATCCTCCGCCTTGCGGCGCCGGCATACCGGGTTCTAGTCCCAGTCGGGGCGCCGGAGTCTGTCCCGGTTGCCCCTCTTCCAGGCCAGCTCTCTGCTGTGGCCAGGGAGTGCAGTGGAGGATGGCCCAAGTGCTTGGGCCCTGCACCCCATGGGAGACCAGGAGAAGCACCTGGCTCCTGCCTTCGGATCAGCGCAGTGCGCCGGCCGCGGCGGCCATTGGAAGGTGAACCAACGGCAAAAGGAAGACCTTTCTCTCTGTCTCTCTCTCTCACTGTCCACTCTGCCTGTCAAAAAATAAAAATAAAAAATAAAATAAAAATAAAAAAAGTATGTCAAAAGGATTATTTTCTTGGAAGAGTTAGTTGCCTTTTCTGATAACCTCCAAACACAGGAAGAGTAACATTCATTTACTTGGACAAGTAATCTGTTAAGCAGATAACACTTGACCATTAACCTATATACTGAACAGATCATTTACTTAATGATAACTTCCAAAGCTATCTCCAGCTTGGATTGCTCTCCTGAACTCTAGACCCCATTTAGCTTATGAGTAGCTTCACATGACAGTGTCATAGATTCCTCCAAGTTAACAGTTCCAAAACTGATAGAAGCCATTATCTCTCCCCTTTACTCCCATTCCTGAAGCTAATCCTTTTCCTGTCAGCGACTGAATGGCCCTCCTTTAGGCCCACTTGCTGGAGCAGAAAAGACTCATTTGAGATTTCCTTCTCTTCCTCACCCTACCCTTTCCTCTTACCCATTTTCACAACCACTTAATATCAGTTCTCATCATCTCTTCCTAGGACTATTACAGTGGTGTGTTCATTGGTCTTTCTGACATCCATATGGCTACCAGAATGATCTTTTGAAAAAGCATAGCTGACATGCCAGTGTTCAGAATTTTGAAGGTCAGAACCTAAACTCCTCAGCATTTCATCCAAGGCCTTTTATAATTTCTCAGCCTCATCTCCCAGAACTCTCTTCACTCACCTATATGTCACCACCAATACACACACCTTTTATTTTTACCAAAAACTAGTTATTAAAAACACTGTTATACCAAACACTAGCTCTTAAAATCCTTCCTTTTGTGTGTCCCCAAACTAGTTCTTTCAGTATAATGATAGTCTCTTCTTTCCATAGCCTAAAATTGGTGAATATACTCATATTTACACTACATGAAATCATCATGCTTTCTAACTTCAATTTTATCTGCTGTCAGTCTTCTTTATTTCTGTACGATGAAGACTTTTTTAGCTACTTAGGACCATTGCGAAGGCTTCTCTTATAATCTATCTATATTCCAATCACAATTAATGCAGGATCTTCTTGTCAGGGAAGCCACCCTTCTCTACTTTTTCATTTGCCCCTCTACCTCTCATCTCAGTACCCCAGATGGAACCTGTCAGTTGAGCATAGTAGAGCTAATCCTGAAGACTCAACTAAAAAAAGAACACAAATCCAGGCTGTCACCAATACCCATGTCTCTTCTCTATTTTCTCTTCAGCCTCCTTAGGATTACCCTAAAGATCACCTTTCTCCCCAACCCCGAAAGATGTCTTCACAAAGCGTATAAGAAGGGAACAGGGGTCCTGGTGCTCACTCACTTCTGAAAGAGCTCCCTGCAGCACACATAGGTCTCATAGCTTCTGTTGGTGAAACTTGTGCTTAGGAAGGAGACACAGTCAGTTTCAGCTCCCCGGGGAACATAGAGGATTCCTGGATAAAGGAGACAGAGATACCAAGGGGAAGATTGTACACATGTTCCTCAAAGCTCTGTACCCTTTGTTGTTGACTGAGAACTAGATTAGGTGACTTTTCTATGTATCTGTGAGATGGATGGTTAAATCCATATTCTGAGAAAGAACCTGTCATGGTTGAGGAAAGTGATTTCTGCCAAGAGACCAAGGTGAGGCACCTACCTGCCACACAGGCACTGATAAAGGATACACAGGACCCTGTGAAGAGGGCCCGGATCACAACTTTGGACAGATCACTTTTTCGGTGGGGCACCATTGAAGCTGCAGACAACAAAACAAAAGAATTTGATCTCTTCCCTATCTAGCAATTAGGTATATCCCATTAACCCCCATTGATAAGAATTTAGATGAACATCATCCTTACCAAGACTGGCCAGCGTTGCCCTGGTTGTGTATATGCTTATTAGTCCTGAGAGATCCCTAACTAGGTCAGGAACCATGCATCGGACCCTAACTTCAGTGGTTCTGGGAGCATACCCAAGATGTATCTGGATCAAGCAAAGCTTTAGATGGCTCCAGGCAGGTGCAATACCTGGTGTTCACCAGTTGAGATCTGTACTTTTATGCCTGGACCAGAATTGGATGGACTTTTCTGAGCCAATGGGCTAAAGAGGGCAACATTCACTTAAATCTTAGACACACTTAGACACACACATACCCTGCTTCTAGATGGCAATCTCGTAATCAGATAGTACTCAGGCATCAGAATTAGAACAATGCAGACATGCATTAAACGGAAAGGAAATTACTTTACTTTTAAATTTTTCAATCAGCTACCAGTTAAATGAATTTAATGATTCTACTCCAGACTATGATTGCCATTAAAAATAGACACACTGATCCATACTTAAACTCCATTTCTTCTAAGATCCATTTCTAACTTGGATCTTCCAAACTCTTGGGATTTGTTAGTGATGCCCTTGACCCTGGTCTCAAGGACAATTCCACATCTCTCTTATTAGTCCTCTAACCATTGCCCAGACTCAGCATTAACTCATCCAATCTAAATTATCTGTGTCTGCTTCAAAGACTCCTCTCACACTTGGTGACTTGCAGCTTTTTTGTTGTTGTTGTTGACAGGCAGAGTTAGAGAAAGAGAGAGAGACAAAGGTCTTCCTTCCGTTGGTTCACCCCCCTAAATGGCCACTATGGCCAGCGCAATCTGAAGCCAGGAGCCAGGTGCTTCCTCCTGGTCTCCCATGTGGGTACAGGGCCCAAGCACTTGGGCCATCCTCCACTGCCTTCCCGGGCCACAGCAGAGAGCTGGACTGGAAGTGGAGCAACCGGGACAGAATCCGGCACCCCAACCAGGACTAGAACCTGGGGTGCCGGCGCCGCAGGCCATGGCACCAGTGACTTGCAGCTTTTAATCCAACATTTTATACTACTTGCTTTTGCTATCTATCTGCCGTATACCTAGGCACATTTTGTCTTTTGATTCACTGTGAAAATTCTTCTGTAAAGACAACCAGTAAGGGCCGGCACCGCGGCTCACTAGGCTAATCCTCCGCCTTGTGGCGCCGGCACACCGGGTTCCAATCCCGGTCGGGGCGCCGGATTCTGTCCCGGTTGCCCCTCTTCCAGGCCAGCTCTCTGCTGTGGCCCGGGAGTGCAGTGGAGGATGGCCCAAGTGTTTGGGCCCTGCACCCCATGGGAGACCAGGATAAGTACCTGGCTCCTGCCTTCGGATCAGCCCGGTCATTGGAGGGTGAACCAATGGCAAAGGAAGACCTTTCTCTCTGTCTCTCTCTCACTGTCCACTCTGCCTCTCAAAAAAAAAAAAAAAAAAAAAGACCACCCAGTAAGAAATTTCAGAAAGTACCTTCACTACTGAATTAAAAACAAAAGATCTTTACTTATACATGAACTATGCCCATAATGGCAAACAGATATAATATCATTGGGACCGTCGCTGTGGCGCAGCAGGTTAACGCCCTGGCCTGAAGCACCGGCATCCCATATGGGCGCCAGTTCTAGTCCGGCTGCCCCTCTTCTGACCCAGTTCTCTGCTATAGCCTGGGAAAGCAGTAGAAGATGGCCCAAGTCCTTGGGCCCCTGCACCCACGTGGGAGACCCAGAAGAAGCTCCTGGCTCCTGGCTTCAGATCAGCGCAGCTCCGGCCGTTGCAGCCTTCTGGGGAGTGAACCATCGGATGGAAGACCTTTCTCTCTCTCTGCCTCTCCTCTCTCTGTGTAACTCTGACTTTCAAATAAATAAACAAATCTTAAAAAAAAAAAAAAAAAAAAAAAAAGAAAGAATGTTAAAACATTTTATCCCTCATAGGGAAAATAAAGATAACATTGATCTTTTTGGGTCTCTAATCTAGAGGGGAAATGTAAGTAAAGTTGAGATTGTAAAGGGTTTTTAAGCATAGCCAGGTGGCCTGATTGTCTTAGCTCCACATTTACTGCAACCTAAGAGGGCCCATTTAGGATCAGCTTCTCTATTTGATCTCATCTTTTACTGAAGTACCAGGACTGCCTTCTACAGATTTGGATCTGGCTGGCTTATTAGGGACCTGGGGAAATGAATTAACTCACTCAAGCCTCCCAGTGTTATTCCTATGGAACTAAGATTGGCAAATCCACAGAGTGAAAATGTTGTAATGACTTCAGCTCTCACCTAGGGGAAATAAAAATAAACAAGTAAATAAATTGTCCATGTGTGTAATCTTATAATCATGACAAGTTTCAGAGTACTTAGAACCCCCAATCTTTTCTACACTGTCCTAAGAATATGCAAAGGGAGGGTCCGGTTCTCTGGCGTAGAAAGTAAAGCCGCTGCCAGCAGCGGCGGCATCTCATATGGTTGCCGGTTCAAGTCCTGGCTGCTCCACCTCTGCCCCAGCTCTCTGCTATGCCCTGGGAAAACAATAGAAAATGGTCCAAGTCCTTGGGCCCCTGCACCTGTATGAGAGACCCAAAAGAAGCTCCTGGCTCCTGGCTTCAGATCGGCAGAGCTCATTGTGGCCATCTGGGAAGTGAACCAGCAGATGGAAGACTTCTCTCTGCCTCTGCCTCTCTTTCAAATAAATAAATAAATCTTTAAAAAAAAAAAAAGAATATGCAAAGGACTCTCAGAAAATAACTGTTCTCTTAAGTTACTATAGAAATAAAGATATAGAAAATACCACAGGCCTCCTTGCCCAACACTGTTCTTGTGGAAGCCAATGAATAAGAAGAAGGCCTGAGAATGAAGATGATTGAGAGGGAAGAGCTAAAGAGACAAAGGAAGAGAAACACAAGATCAATTTATAACCATTTAAACTTCTAAATGAAGAAGAGAATCTTAAACCATCAAAAAATGGGATCTTCCCTGGATTGTCCCAACTGTAAAGACCCCACAAATACATTATAGAGAGAAGTTGGGTCAGAGTGCAGAGGAGAAAGCACACAGACCTCAGAGTAGCTCAGACCCTGGAGACAAGGTTGCTTTGCGGTTGGGCTGTAACACTGAGAAGGCTTCTCTGGGTCTGCCACAAACTTCCATGTAGCACTTTCTGTCTACCCTTGGATAGCCATGGCTGAGATCTCATACTAGTTATACTTTTTTTTTTATTGTTACTTACAGAAATCCACTGTTTCTGGCCATCAATCCATTCTTCCATTCCAGAGAGACGTTTTTTCTTGTATTGAGACAGTTGCTGATAGGCCACAAACTCATTTGTGAAGAACTTGATTCCCACCATCTCAGCCACCATTGGACAGTCTGTCCACTCTACACCCATCATGTAAACCATGGGCCTTAGGATATAGGAGCAGATGACCTTAGTGAGAGAGAGATATCTCAGGGAAAGGAAGAACAAATAACAAAGATCAGATGCCAAAGACCTTCTCTGGGAGCTTCACCCAAACTCTTCCCCCTTTCTCAATATTCATGCTCTCTTAGCTTACCCACAGGTCAGGAGAACATGCACAGTTAAAGGACTATTTAACTACATATCCCAGAGGGGCAGCCCAGTGAATATAATCCCTTACCTGGAAAGTGAGCCCCTGTATGTCCACCAGTTCCCCCAACCAGGAAAGGGCAGCATTGATGAAGGCCAACACGGCCAGAAAGGCAACCAGGTTGGCTGCGACATTCGCAACAAGAGCTATAGCATCTGTCGCTCCATTGCTGGCAGCTTCTAGGACATTGCTCTCCTTCCTGTGGTTATTGAACAAAGGGGAATAATATGGTGTCTAGAGGAGTCTCAGCCCTAGAAGAAGAGAAACCCCACTGTCCCTATAGCAAAGGAGAAGGGTACAAGGCCAGTTTGAGAGCTAAGGGGTCCCTTAGTGACCTTATTAATGGAAATTACTCTGAAGCCATGAATTTGGACTGATGCCCAGGACAGAGAGCACTAGCATACAGAAGCTATTGCAAATAGGGAGGTTGAGAAAGCAAAAATAACATGATCAGCTGGAGGCAGGAAGATGCAAGAGGAGATATCGAATCATATACTTCCCCCAAGGAGATTTGAAGTCTCTGCCACCACAAGGCCACTCTTGACTCTGCATCTTCCCCACCATCTCCCAAATCATTGCTTCCTTGGACTCACCCACGAGGCAGTTTTACCCCCTCTTTACTCTTGAACTTGGACTCCTCCACTTCTGGATATACCAGCTTTGACAAGGCAAGTGCACAAGGGGCACCCATCACAGAAGCAGAAATCAAGGATGATGCATCAATCTGCAAGGCCAGACTTAGGGATCAGTGTCTGTAGATCCCAACCCAGGCTCACCCAGCAGGGATAAAGCAGATTGTGCATACCCCAAAGGATATGAAGGCTCCCAACACAGTGCCTGAAATGGTGGCAAACCCTGAAGTCATCACTGCATGGATTTCAGAGAGGGTCAAGTCTGCAAGGTAGGGGCGGATGAGCAGAGGTGCCTCTGTCTATAAACAAGGAGAAAACAATCAGATTCCAAGAAGGCGCAACTCCCCACACCAGAGTGCCCACCCCAGCCTCTGGGACTGGACCATAAGATGCAGTTCCTTCCAGTGTATGTGCTGTTCAGTAAGACATAGTCCCAAGTAGTGAACAGCAAGCTCAGTTCTCAGTTCTCAGCCCCTCCCAGCATCTGTCTCACTCCCTTTGGTACCTACTTCTGTCCCAGCTGGCATTGCTCTCATCTGCTTCCATATGTCTTTGTCTCATCTGTTTACATTTTAGAATGTAGAAGAGAAATGTCTGAAACTAGCTTGGGAAATACAGTGCACTTACTGAGTACAGATTAGATGCTTCAAAAGTACTCACTAAATGAATTACAAAGAAATTGTCTAAGTTGACTGTCTATGAAAGAATAAAAAAAAATTGTGAAAATGTTATAAATTTATGAAGGCCTGACTATGTAAATTATATCTAGCATTGATGTAAGATAATGTTATTTATCACTTAGCAAGTGATGACTAGATATTTAGTGCTAGCTAGAAGCTAGGGCTGTTAGCATAACACAAGTTTCCTATTCTTAGGAGCTTATAGTCCAACAGAGGAAACTAAGCTGATAATGAATAATTTCAGCAAAATGTGGAGGGGTGTGATAGAAGTATCCATAAGTGCTTCAAGAACATTTCAGAAGCAGATAACCAGCTAAGGGCCCTGGGAGGAATGATCTCAGTACTAACTCCTTATCAGTGTAACAAGTCACTTTCCTTAAAGTTGAGCTAATTCATCAATAGCATATGCTGAACACCTATTCCTTACAAACAAATGTACCAAACAAGTATTCTGGGGGAAAGCCTTGATGGTAGTCCTGAGTAAGGCAAGCTATGTCTTCCTTAGAGACCCTAGAAAACTAGGGTCACCGGGAGTCACAGGGAGAAACTAGAATTTAGATCACACATTCTTTTGTGACCCATAAAAGATGATAATATTTGGACAAAGACATTCCCCTAACTTTCTGTATAAGAAGTTGGATCAATGGCTAAAGGTGTCCATATTAGGGATGCCCAGGTAAGTATTTTAGGCTTGAGGATAGGAAAGCAATGATCAGAGCCCCCACTGAGTGTCTGAGCTTTCATTTATCAGGGGTTGGCTGCCCCATAGCCTTCATTTATTTGATCTTTCAGAAGGAAAGCATACTTTCTGAACTGTTTTCTGAAAATTCTCAGTTCCCTAGGAAAAGGAAAAAAAGGCCTCAGCGTGCTTACCATACCCACAAAGATGTTTCCTGCTACAGCTAGGGTCTCTGTGGCAGTGGTACGCATAGTGACTTGCAAAAACCAGGCGATCTAAAAAGATACAGAGATCTGTACCATTAGCATTACCAAGAATCTTGGAGAATGTCCAGGAAAAAAAAAAACCCTTTTCCTCCATTTTGCAGATAAATAAACTAAGGTCTAGAAGAGGAGAAGGCAAGGCCACAGAACAATTTATGGAGCCTTGAGCAGAACTCAGTACTCTAGAGTAGATCCCAACTGTAGACCAAGGGTAGTAAAACTCAGAATAGAATTAAAAGGTAATCCAGGCTATCTTCTCTGCTCTGCTTCTCAGCCTATCTAGGTCCTGGACTGATTATTTGATTTCAGGTGAGCTTGCAAGAATTTGTCTTTTCATATTGGTTCTTACCCTCTACATCCTACATATGAGAATTTTTCCAAAGCAAGTGTCATCTTCATGCTGTTAACAAGTCACAAGGGCCCATCTCCTGAATGGCACAGGAGAATGACTCACCTTCTGAACAACCCACTGCACAAGGCCCAGGTAGTAGAGAATGGACATCACGCATCCAAAGAAAATGATGATTGGTAACGACTGTAATGAGAGTGGTGGGTAGCTGGTGAGACCCTGCACTGTTTGTGCTATGTATACCATAAGTGGACTAGGCTCAGCTCTCCACATTCACTATCTACACACACTGGTTTAGGAATGAATTTAAAATGTATTGCAAATCTATTACCCCACTGGAATTAACCCACAAGATATTTTCTGCCCCACCTGTACTAATGGTCAAAATGTAAGAAATGGATGATGTTTCTTTTAGTCATAGAATTAAGCCCTCTTCTTAGGGTCAAATTGGCATGCAGGCTGGATGATCCCTTGGATGGACATAAATTTTCATCCATGTTTTACTCCCCTACTCCTCCACTGGCCTTGACTCCTGCTCATAATGCATACAGACCTGAAAAGCAAAGACATCATTGACCAGGGTATCCCCAAAGACAAAACTGGAGCCAGCGACGGTGTAGGCCAGGAAAATCTAAAGGAGCAAAAACAAAAATAAAACAGAGAACAAAGGTTAAGCCATGAAAGACACAGGGGAATGAGACCTGCCTCATGCATAATTAGGACGCATTTCCGCCACTCAGGTCCCATTGAGAGCTTTCGTGTCCCAATGAAGGATTTATTGAATGACAGGACTTAGCAGTTCAGTACTCTTCCTTCTTATTCTTAGCTGTACCCCAGTATCCTGTCTCCGTTCCCAACTGGATTTCCCACCACTATCATTAACAAGACACCACCTATTTTCTCATGCTTCCTTCAAATCTCTCTTCTCTAGGTTTCTAAAAGAGCAAAGCCCTCACTTTCAGTTTCCAATACCTGGACCTGATCTCCCAGCCACTGAAATGCAATAAATCCAGGATCCGTTCTGATGACCAATAATCCAAAGACAAACTGAAGACCCAGGCCCCAAAACACTGTCCTCCAGGACACCTAGGATCAATAAGAAAATTATTCCAATATGAGTTATAAACCCTACTTGTCCACAACCTGTTGGGGTTATAAGCATAGATATATGAACTCTAGGTGAAACCAACCTAGGATGTTAACAGTAAATCCGGGGTGAGATTGCATAAAGAGCAGGGGGAATAGGAAGGAGAGACAAGGCAGTAATATGTAAAGAGCCACATATGTTCTTGTGGTTTCTAAAAACCTGTCTAGAAATTATGTATATGCATATATATCTAAAATATGTATATACATACATATATGTAAATGAAAGTTTCGTAAATCAACACTTTAACATCACTATGTAAAATGTAATTTGATTCTCTATTGTATTCTATTTTCTTTCTTTCCTTCTTTGTTTTCTTTTGCTCTTTCTTTAATGCTGGCCTGGATCCACAACATTGATATTATGATTCACTAATAGATGGCAATCTACAGATTGAAAATAAGTGGCCTCGGGACTCTGGACCCTATACATTAAACTTCTTCTTAGGAAGAAAACTACCAAAGTGGTAAATATCAGGAGATGTTAGAAACTTAGTTCTGCCTTTGTATTTCATACTGGACACATGAACTTTCTAATTACCGCTTGGCCCTTGGCTATGTGTTGCAGTGCCCAACCCCGATACCCAAAACTCACTGCACTGTGGTGTTTGGAGCACGCAAAGAGGATGAGGACGAACATGCAGATTCCTGCAAAGGAGATCAGCTGCTCTGGCCTTTGAGCTGTGTCTAGTGCCAGCCACAGGATAAGGCCAACCAAGGAGACTCCTGCGAACACCCTGAAGAAGGAATGCCAAGGCCATGTCATCAACTCAGAGAATAAATAACAAAGAATTAACTTCACCCCAACAATAAATTAAATAAGTCAAGAGTTTATTGTTGATTAGACACACAGACATAGCTTGAGAACATTCATTTGGGAGTTCCCCACCTTCTACTTCTCCCCCTCCAACTATTTTACTCACAGAATGAAGTTGAAAGATTCCAATCTGAGTACCCAAATCATGTGACTTCCTTTCCCTCAAGCTTCCATATTAATAAGATGTGATGTAAATACTCATTCTTAAAGGTCATTCTAATGAATAACCAAGATACTAAAAACTGAAGGAGGAAAAGTATTTATTGGTACTCCGTGGATCTCCACCCACTTTGAAACCACTCCAAGGGAAAGAGCAATGCCTTAGCCACGCACCAACTACTCATGGTCTGTTATGACCTATTACGTCAATATACAAACTGAGTTCATCATATCTGAGTGTTAGAGTTCTTCAGGTTCAAGGGAAAGGAATCAGGAGGGAGATCACAGATGAAAATGAAACAAAATGAGCATGTTGTCCATTGAGAGACACCATGGAAGCAAACAACAAAGAGCATCTCAAGTCGGGGTTGAATGTTGGTGTTCTTCCATTTCACTTAAGGTGAATAAAATCTGGCTTCCATATCCATCTTGCTAATGAAAAATATCCTTTCAGCTCTATTTTCCAGCTGTCAAATAAATCAATAATTTGAATTCCGATGGCAGTCTAGGGCAATTTCTCTAAATTATCACTGTTGCAAGCATCTTTAGCACCAATTTTCTTTGTACCCACTGGCAAATGGGCAGAAAAGAGGAACTTTGTAGAGTCTGAAAGTTACTATCTCACTCCTGGCCTATGGATGTGTGTATACCATAGTTAGATGAGCTGTGGCTGCTTTAGAATCCAGTTCAGTATATTCTAAGCAGTGAATTTGCTCCTTAAAGAGTTATAAAAGACACCAGTGGGTATAGTAAGTCTGGAGGACTAGAGGTAAAAAAGCATAAAAGGTATCAAGGAACTGAGGGAGACATGGACAACCACAAAATCAACGTGACAGTTTCCTGCAGCCACAGTGTCTTTGTCCAGGCACTTGGTTGAAGAGGACCGTGGTTCTCCTGCTTTCTGGCCCAGGCCCTGTAACTCTTCTCTGAATCTGAACCCTCCCTGACCCTTGGCAATGTTGAGAACCAAGGTTATAAGATATTGGACTGAGGGGGCGCCGGATTCTGTCCCGGTTGCCCCTCTTCCAGGCCAGCTCTCTGCTGTGGCCAGGGAGTGCAGTGGAGGATGGCCCAGGTGCTTGGGCCCTGCACCCCATGGGAGACCAGGAAAAAGCACCTGGCTCCTGGCTCCTGCCATCGGATCAGCGCGGTGCGCCGGCCGCAGCGCGCCGGCCGCGGCGGCCATTGGAGGGTGAACCAACGGCAAAAGGAAGACCTTTCTCTCTGTCTCTCTCTCTCTCTGTCCACTCTGCCTGTTAAAAAAAAAAAAAAAAAAGATATTGGACTGAGGTCATGTGCTCAAAAGTCTATGGCTGTTTGTGGTCTACACCTTAGTTTGGAAAGTATAGGTGAAGGTCTGAGAGATCACTCAGGAACTGTCAAAGAGGGATAAGGAAGCAGGCTGTGGTTCAGGATCCATCATGGGGCCAGGAATACCAAAAATCTTACCGTTTTATCCAAAGTCTCAGCTGGGAATTTTTAAAGGGCTTCAGGCATCTTGTTAATTTTTTACCCAAGAACTTTTTCAGAAAGTGGAGAAGCAGGACCAAGATCACCAAACAGGTGATGACAAATAAGGCCAGTGCCCTCTGGAAATCCAAGATGCAAGCTGCCAAGAAATAGGCAGCATACGCTAAAAAGAGAAAGTCAGGTAAGGATCAGCAAGGCAGAGCTTCCAAGAGGCATATAAAACTCCAACAATGAATTGAATGCCCAGGACTGAAAGCAAGAAAACCATTCCAAGACCTTGCCACCCAACCCTGCTGTCGCACTAGGCTGTATTTCTTGAGGCCAGTATAGATATCCAACTGTTCTTTTCTTGAGGATTCCCAAGGAGAAGCCAATTTAGTTTGAAGACCTCATGTGTTCACTTGCCCCTGATGATCTCACTCCCTTTTTATTTTATTTGACTTCTCTTTGCACCTTGGAGTAAATGGGATCAGCATCCACCACAGACTTCAAAAGTCAGTCATCTCTTCTTGAAACCTTTTTTTTTAAATCTGTTTATCAATTTATTAGAAAAGCAGGATAACCAAGAGGGAGGGACACAGAGAAAGAGAGAGGTCTTCCATCCACTGGTTTACTTCCCAAATGCCCACCACAGCTGGGGCTGAGCCAGGCCAAAGCCAGGAGCCAGGAATTCCATCCAGATCTCCTATGTGGGTGGCAGGGACCCAAGTACTTGGACCATCACCCACTGCTTCCCAGGCTCAGAAGCAATAAGCTGGGTCAGAAGTGGAGGCAGGACTCCATCCCAGGTACTCCAGCATGGGATTTTAGTATTCTAAGTGGCAGCTTAACCCACTACACCACAACTCCCACCCCTCTTCTTGAAACCTTATTACTCTAGTCATTTTAACCTTTCCTCTTCAACAAAACCATGGAAACAAGGCTACCACTAGGAAGTACAGCCTCATGGCTCCCTTACACATCTCATTATATAATTTTTGTTCTCATCATCCTAGTTGCCTCTAACGTTGACAACAAAGGCCCATAATCATTGGCAATATATATGAAACAGGAGGTTGCTGTCTTTTAAAAATATTTTATATCATTGATCTTACTAGTAAACCAACAAATAAGTATTGAATAATAAAGTCTTCTCTCATAAAGACTACAAGAAATTATGCCCAGCATCAAATCAAGACACTAAAAAAGAGATGTCTATATTCTCAGAAATATTTCAAGTTTATCAAATAATACAGTTTTGATAAATAGATTATTCTCATATTTTGCTTATTCCTATAGGCACAATTCAATAAATTATGATTCAGCAAGATGTACTTATACATCAAATAGCCCTTTAGATCAGTTTTTGAGTAAAAATGCTTTCCATCTGGTCATCATCTTATCACAAAGTAACATTCCTAAAATGATCGTGTTTCTTGGTCCCATGACTTCTCAATATCTCACCCAGACACAACAGGCCCAACAGGATCTTCTTGAACAAGCTTGCATGTCTTTGGCAGAAAGTTCTTGCCTTGGTGAGAGGCTGTAGATAACTCCTGATGAGGGCACAAAAGTTAAGACACAAGAATTATTCTATTCCATTTGTATTCATTCTAGGAACTTCGAATTTGCTTTTAACCAACAAAGAAAATTATTCAGCGAAGGAGAAATTAGGTAGTGTCCAGGCAAGGCCAAAAAAAGGCAGACAAAACCTCGCCAATGGGCAGCAAATCAAAATGACCCTCTGCTAGCAGTGCCCTTGGTAACCTACAGTAGAAGTGGACACTGGTCATATCAGGGGTTGACTCCTTCCCCATTCCCAAAGTACAGGGGATTGGACAGCTATGATATTCAGAATAGGGCCTATCCTTCCCTAAAAACCACACAAACCAATAACCTTGAATAGCCATTCAGCTATACATTGTTAAGAAGGGAAACACCATCTATTTCAAGAATCCTTGGATGATTAGGCATGAGAGAAGATGCCCAGCAAGTAGGGCCATTCAAGTTTGGCTTAGTGGACATTATAGTGCTTTCTATGTGCTAGGCTCTTCCTAGAATTATGTAATACTAACTCATTGAATCCTTCTAAGAACCATGAAGGTGGCTACTATTATTCCCATCTTACAGATGTAGAAAATGAAAAACACGCATGTTAAGTAACTTTCAAATGGTTATAGATGCTGTAAGGAGCAGAGACGGGCTAGCGTTGTGGCATCCTGTGGCACTGGTATCCATGTGGGTGCCAGTTTGAACCCTAGCTGCTCCACTTCCAAACCAGCTTCTTGCTAATACTCCTGAGAGGGCAGTGGAGGATGGCCCAAGTATTTGGGCCCCTGCACCCATGTGGGAAACCCAGATGAACCTCATGGCTCCTGGCTTTGGACCAGCCCAGTCACAGCCATTGCAGCCATTTGGGGAGTGAACCAGCTGATGGAAGGTTCTCTCTCTCTCTCTCTCTCTCTCTGTAACTCTGCCTTTCAAACTAAAAAAAAAAAAAAAAAAAAAAACATAAAAAAAGGGATCAGAGACAGAATATAAACTCCAGAAGTTTAGCTTCAAAATCTGAGCTCTTAACCTTCATTTTATGTTGCATCTTACCTAGACCCCAGGTTTAGCTGTCTTTGCCACCCTAAGAATCCTTGGTACACTGCAGCCACATGAGTGAAAAGCTCTAATGTCTAAACTATGAGAAACTCCAAAGAAGGTGACCCAACCAGAAGATCCCAGTGTGGCCATCAGGCTGAGGCCAGACACCTTAGCCAGTGCTGGAGCAGCCACTAACTCCAAATCCCCTGAGGCACTGGTCCTGGGAGTACCATGGCTACTTCTTCATTGCTTCCTCTCCAGTCCAGTACACTCCCTGCTTCTCATTTATAGCCTTCCTGTCACTCCTGCCTCCACCCTCTCCTTAGTGCCCCTTTCTGCAGGGAACCTACCCCTGTGTTAGCTGAGCAGAGTGTCTATTATCAGATACAGGTAAGCTGTGTAAGGAGAAAGAAGTCTCTATTATCATCTGACTGGATAGATTCAAGAGACTATTTTGGGATTTCAAGAACTCTACAACCTTTCCATGTTTAAAAGAGAAAATAGTAAAAAGCTTTGCTTGGAGATACTGGTGTTGGAACATCATTCATAGATTATATCAAGTGTTTCAATCCTAGACTTCCTGGTTAGGCCAGATCTCTTGGGTTTGTTCCTCCAGATTCATTCTCCCCACTGTTCTCTGTGCCTTGGAAGTCTAATCCATGTGGAATACATGTTGGGCTCCCAATGCCCTCTGGCTTGTTAAGTTGGCTTCTGCCAGTGGGACCTAACTGAGGTTAGCACGTTGAGGAAAGAGATCTTTTCATCTGACTCTCTCCCTGGGTTCTCTTACATCTTGTCCCTTCAAGTCTCACTGCTTAAAGCCTTGGGTTTAATGATAGCTTATACTGTCTTTTCATGGTTCCACTATGCCTAACACACATTTTTATAATGGTGTCTTTGCAAATTAACCCTCTCCTAATTATCCTAATTTAAGTGTGCCATCTGTTTCCTAGTGGGACACAAACTGTTACCCTAGCTAAATCTGGTTTAAAATTACACTCAGTCAAATGCCAGTTGAGCTAGGCCACTGCAAAACAAGAGGGAACACGAGCTAGTCCAAGAGTAGGTATAAACCATAGGCCTAGCAGATATTTCTGCTACCACAGACTGAACAGAAACTAAATTAGGGCCGGTGCCGCGGCTCACTAGGCTAATCCTCCGCCTTGCGGCGCCGGCACACCAGGTTCAAGTCCCGGTCGGGGCGCCAGATTCTGTCCCGGTTGCCCTTCTTCCAGGCCAGCTCTCTGCTGTGGCCAGGAAGTGCAGTAGAGGATGACCCAAGTCCTTGGGCCCTGCACCCCATGGGAGACCAGGAGAAGTACCTGGCTCCTGCCATCGGATCAGTGCGGTGCGCTGGCCGCGGCGGCCATTGGAGGGTGAATCAACGGCAAAGGAAGACCTTTCTCTCTGTCTCTCTCTCTCACTGTCCACTCTGCCTGTCAAAAAAAAACAAAACCCACTAAATTAGTGGGTACTACAAGAAATTAATTAAGAATATCCATTTCTGGAACACCCATTAACAACCTGATCTTAGACTATCAAGCTGAAACTAGCCTTCTAGTTTAAAAACTAAAAAGCAAAAAGAAAAACCATAGAGACTTTCCAAAGGAAAAAGAGAAAGCAAACTTTTTTACCCTTTCACGCCAACTGAGAAGCAGTACATAAAGGCTTATAAGCAGGTATCCATTGGGGTCCCAGTATCCTGCTAGGACAAGGCCCTTGCTAATAGTACCACGCTCTTTACATAATGGTACAGCTTGAGCATTACTTACTGTAAAGGCTTAACATCAGGAAGCTGAATTGAGAAGAAATTTAATTGATAGATGGTGCAACTTGATAAATGTTTCTCATGACTTTCTGGGAAATATGAACTCATTGATGAGAGCTCTGTGTATGAGAGGTTTTCTGGGTATGGGCTAATGATAATCCTCTCACTTAATGTGCTTACTTCCTGAAGCCCCAAATGACAAGGCAAGTAGGTGATGGTGGTGTGGTGGTAGTGCTAGCTCAAAGTAACTTTAGTAAGCACTGTATGTCAGACCAAGAAGCCAGGGTATTCAAGTGTCTTCTCAATGACTGTCTCACAAGAGTAGAAATTTCCAACTAAGGCAGACAGAGCTACAGGAACTTCCAGAGTCTGGGATACTATGATTTAGCAATTAGAGTAGAAAATTTGGACAGCCTCCGGAGAATCTAGCTCCACTGACCGGAGACAGTGATGCCCTGAGTGAATTTCTGCTGCTCGGGCTTGAAGTAAGAACTAAAATAAAGGAAATTAATCAACCCAGAACTAAATGGTGGTATGAGTAAAGGGTGAAAACCTCCAGGAAGAAGTGACCAGAATCTTTTCAAGGGGTCAAAGATTTTATTTTGATGATGGCATAAAAAGAATTGGCTAATAACTACCATACTGGGTAGCACTTTATCAGGATCAAAGTAATGTATGCAACTGGTTTTGAACTAGAGAAAAGCTAGGTGGTGTTGTTTAGAGACCAGAAAACAATTACCAAAAGTGTCCAAGGAAGAATGACAACTGGTCAGAGAAGCAAAAAGGTCAGTAGCCAAGGTAGAAAGTCAAAGCCAGGAGAGGCAAGGAAAGGCCACTCAGAGGGAAGCCAGCAGACTGTATATTGGAGGCAAAGGCTCTGTACAGCTGGAGATGGCCAGTTCTGAGTGCACTCGGCCCATATAGCTAGACACCTCATTGCTGAGTTAGGGTGGATGTGTTGCCTAGGAAAAGAACTCTCCCTCTTCAGGTAACCACATCTTTACTTGATGCGCTTATTTCAGCTAGAAGCAAACATCAGATCTTCTCCATACTAATGGTGGAGACACAATGCCAAAGGCTCAGAAAGACTTGCAAAGTGGGATTTCCAACCAGCCCTTCAATCTCCCACAATCTCTACTTTCCAGAATCCTACCTCTCCAAATTAAAGGTAGCAGTGGTTCTGACAGGCAGTGGGGTCTTCCCAAGGAAGGTGCTCTCTCATAAAGGAGAGCTGTGACTCTACTTCCAAGGCCAGGCCCTTTAGTTCTATTGTAAGCAAAAGTTTCTCCAAGTTTCTATAATACAGATAATGTCCATCATGGGCGTCCTCTGATATTATTTATCTTGTTTACAAATTCTTTGAATGATTTCAATAGGAATTTTTTAAAAGTGTTTATTTATATATTTGAAATTTAGAGTTACAGAGACGGAGAGAGAGACAGAGTGAGAGAGAAAGAGAGAAAGATCTTCCATTTGCTGGTCCATTCTCCAGATAGCTGCAACAGCCAGGGCTGGGCCAGGCTGAAGCTAGGAACTTCTTCCAGGTCTCCCACATGGAGAGCAGGAACCCAAGCTCTTGGGCTATCTTCTGCTGCTTTTCCCAGGCCATTAGCAGGGAGCTGGATTCGAAGTGGAACAGCTGGGATTCATGTGGGATGCTGGCGTCACAGGTGGCAGCTTAACCCACTATGCCAAAACACTGGCCCCTCAATAGGAATTTGAAGACTAAGGAGTTCTAGATTCTTCAGCTACTGAGAGCATAATCAGACCCTAATGGAAAAAAAAAAAAAATGTGGAGGTGGGGGTATCCTGCAAGGATGGGCTGCTTAAAATTCTTCCTTAGGACTTGCAGTGATTTGCAACATAGTCAGGCCCCTAGACACCCGTCCAAGACTCTATTGTCAACACCCACCAATCCCTGCAGGTTTCCCACCTTCTCACCAGGAAGTCAGAACAGTCACTCTTATAGGGCAGACTTAGTAAGGCCAGTTGGAGAGCTAGTGGAGAAATCAAAAAGGTGAATGATCTTTAAGGAAGAAGAGAGGTCAATGACATGACAAAGAATGACAAAGAAGGTGCTAGATTTGGCAGTGAGGTTCTGCTTGAGAGAGCTATTTCCAGGAGAATTACTGGAAACTGAATTGCAGGAAATTAAAGAGGGAGCATGAGCACATATGGACTAATTTTTCCAAAATTTTG